ATTTCATAAATAACACCAACTTCAGTTTTTATAAATATTCCAATAGCTACCTCCGTAAATGTGTTACAAAATTTCAGTTGAATTTGCGATAAAAAATCCCAAGAATGTAACGTGCTCAAAGTATTTTCATTTTTATCGCGCTTGTTAGGGTGAAATATATGTTGCGAAACGCACTTTTGTATCATGTATCCCATTAGAGTAATTTAATTAAAAGTTAATTTATCTTTCAAACATTTTAATCCAATTTTGCGGAAAGTGCTGCGTTCATCCAGCCAATACTGCGCCCTTGGGAAAGTTTCAGACATCGTGTCCTAATTACTTAGTCTTTCCGTTGCATTCATTACGTTCTCACAGCGTTCGCGCGAGCTTTTGCAGAAAGGTAACGTTATCGCAGAAGGGAATTTCTTAGTTCCTATGTAAGTGGCTTTTAACAACGGCAGTAGCCAACCTTCCAGACCTCACGAATCACTAAACAAGTAATTTTAAATCCAGTCTCCTTAATTTGAATCACAAACTCAATATATTAGTTAAATAACAAGAAGAAAACTTCTGTTTTATTACAACAATATGTACTTATTTAAGTTCAACTAAATTTAAAATCAACGCACAAACCTCATGGATGGCTACATTTATAATTTTAAATCCTAACTTCTTAATTTGAATTAAAAAATAGAGTTGATAATTAATATAAAAAGCTTGTTTTTATTACAAATGCACTTATTTGACATTAATTTACAACCCATTTTTAAAAATAACAAACTCGTTGGTTAATCTTCAAAAAACCTTCAAACATCGGTAAATGGTTACAAAAACAATAATACGCACTAATTTAATTATTGAAAAATATAATTGAATTCATGCACACATTAATCATTGGAGCGTGTGGAGTACCATTGCTTGTTTGAAATAAATTATAAGAGTACTTGAATTTATCAATACTATGGCAAACAAAATAATTCATTTCGACGACCAAAACGTTTTTGCGGGTCAATAAATGGTGACCACTAACAAAACCCGATGAAGAACAAGTTTCGGAAACGTTTTCTAATAATTGTAATTACTTTGAATCCTTTTTAAACTAAAAAGTCTCAAAAGAATTGATGTACAGTTAATATAATTTGAATACTTCCCACTTTCATCGTATAAACTGAACCCATCTAAAAAGATAATTTATTTTATCTATTGATTTACAATATATTTTCATAGCTAAATTGGACGGAACAATAAACATATTTTTAATGTTCGTTCCACTTACGCATGCAACTCTGTAATATTAAGTAGCTTCTATACATAATACGAAAATGTGTGCGCCATTAGTTTATCTACACACTACCGTTTATATACATAGAAACTAGGACACATGTTTACATTCTCTGTAAATAACACCATTTGTGTAACTACAGGAGACCAATGAATCAGAAGTTTGGTAAAACGTAAACGCAAAAGATCTGGGTTTCAAACTTAATCTTCTCATTAGAATGTCAAGTTCATAATATTCTCAATATTTCAACGTTCCAACTTCCGAAGTAAAATGAACCGAAGGTAATTCAATCACCAGAAACAAATCGCGAACACAAACTCTTTCTACGCGGACCTCTCACGCAGACTTTCCTACCCCCGACCAAATTACCTACTGGTAACTAATTACCGAGGCGTTTCCCTGGTGCGCGGCTTCGCAACATCTCGGGCGGAGTGCCCCAGGGTTCAGAATCGCGAGCGCGAGGCGAGAGGCGGCCTGGGCGGCCGAGGCGGCGCGCGCCGCGCTGAATGGGTCGCGTGCGGTCCGAGGCGCTTCGCTCACGAACGAGGGACGAGCGGAGGACTGGCGGAGGACTGGCGGAGGAGGACGCGCTCAAAGCGGCCAGATCTCTCTTAAACCCTTTGAGGACGCGCGCCCTTTGAGGCGCCCTTCGCAGACGCCGCCCTGCCTCCTTCAGAGGACACGCGATCCCAGACGCCGCCGCCGGCGCTGCAGGGCTGCGGTTTTTCGGTTACCGGGGCTGGGCCGGGCGGCGCGCCGGCCCGCCGCCGCGGCGAGCTCAGAGTAGGCAGGAAGCTCAGCAAGGTGATAGATTTGCGGCGGTGCTACGCGCCAGCGTGGTTCCTACATTTTAGACACGCAATATCTTTCCCTTTCTTCTCTGTCCCACTCTCCTCCTTCCCCTTGCCCTCTTCCCCATTATTCTCCTTACCCTTTTCTAGTGCTTCCGCTTTCTCATGCAACATACTCGGCACCAATAATGTACGTTCCCAACTGACGTAATACAATTTTAATTCAGTACAATTTGCGCACTATTAGGTAAGAAAAGAAATGATCTAATAAGAGAAGAATTAAGGGTGCAACCCCTTAACAGAAATTGAAGCTGGTTGGAAAAGACGACGAAAGGAACGTAATATGCGTATATCACCAGGAAGAATATCTAGGAAGATTCTAAACCCTCCGGACGAAGAAATATTGGACAAACGACGACAAAATGGTGGAGCCAAAACGTGCAATTTTTCCTAATCCGGGAAAGTCACAAGAAGAAGTTAATATTCGATCTATTGCCATTTGAACCATTCTAGGAGTGGTGACAGTTTTAGTCGAGTGTGTATTGTTTAGAATCGCATCTTTCGCCAAACACCGCTTCTTTCTGTGTTTTTCTTTGAGGACAGTTTCACGAATTTATTATTTATTGCCTGTTATGCTGTGCAACCTCAATCTTCAAACATGTTTCTTTCAGTATGTTTATATCGGGTGTCTTTTACTCTCTCTGCTCAAATAGAGTTTAGAACGACCCATTTTCTACCTACTCTCAAACTCCTCGTTTCTTGCATCACGGTATCGCGGAGCTCTCCGCCATAGGTAAACATTAAATTCAGTCATATCATATCATATATTCTAAAAATGAAAAATACCTTTTAAACTTGCAGTGTCACAATTTCATTTAGATCTATAAGGGAATATAAATTTTATAGAGAAATCGTCTGAACTGTTCAGACGCTAGCGTGACCACAGACAGATAGATTGAGAGTCAGACAGGCATACATATTCTTCCCGTTCATTGTCTTTCTATTTTGTTTTAATTTCTTAATTTTCCACACAGTTACCTGGAACTTTGTCAAGCCTGTTTCCACGGGGATTTTCTTCCATCCTCTGCATATCATTGCAATTCCAACATTTTAGTCATTTATGATTGCAGATTAGATCGGTTATTGCATTGGATCAGTTCTGTAAGATATTATTTTGACACTTAATTATTTTAATCATATTGTGAGTGTGAATGGTGGGTAACATGTAGAATATTGGCTATTTGAACTTATATTTTGGATAAGTTTCTTATTCAATGTATCCTTCATTTCAGAATCTCTTTTTGCACACATAGGCGGAAGTAACTCAAGACAGCGTTGTACACGTTGGCTTCTCTCTATCTTGGTTATTTCACTGTGGTTTCATTACCATTCAAAGTCCTCATCGTTCATTCAGGTTCTGCACCTCCGCCGTCAATTGATTGACTGGTTGGTGTTTACGGGCGCGCGAAAGGCTATGATCGGTCCCGTAAGTATAGTACATATTTTATCGTGGGGTGGAAGTGACTCTGATTTTCCCCTGCTGGATGGGGAGATCCGGATCATATATACGGCTAGCGATCGGTGATTACCCCAATCAGGTATCTCCCACCAGCGGGGACAAGCTCTAAGCACCCGACCAGTCTCCGGTATGTGAGATGGTGTAGTTCATGGTATGTATTATTGTGTGTCAGCAAGGCATTAGGATAGGACAAGGAAGAGAAAGGAAAGATCGCATGCGGTCCATGGCCCATTTGTTAGAATACTGCTCCGTTATTCGCTCGGTGTTGATAGGAGAATCACCGATCAGAGCAACCGGCCACTACAATTCTCTTCCAGACTGCGTCTGAACTCGACCTAGCTATCTAGGTAGTGTGGAAAATCGTTCCACCGTGGGGAGTGAAACCCTACGACCTCCCAGTCAGAGGCCCTTAGTGACATCACGTGATGCCCTGAGCCACCCCAGCCGGTACCTTCGTC